ACCTCGTCCAGGTCCCGCTCCACGGCGCCTGCCACCTCCACCTCCACCACCGCCGCCATCTTGCCCGCCCACACAGCCGAGGTGGAGACTTCCGCCAAGGCCCAGCCAATCAGCGGCCGCGCCGGCCCGCCCGCCCTCCAATGGCCGCGCGCGGAGCCACGCACCTCCAATGGGAGAGCGGAGGGGGAGGGACCTCGCTGGCACGGAGCAGAGAGAGCGTCTGGAAATCACTGTCCTCGCACAGAGAGGAAAAAGGCCCCCCGAAGGAGCGGCGCAGGGGCAAGCCCGCCTCTCAGGGTTTTGTGTTTCTGTTTCTCGCTGTCACGATGCTGCCGAGTCCGGGATCTGTGAGTTCGGCGCGACTTTACGTTTTGGTTCGGGTGCGGGACATGTCGGATGCTCTCTGCTGCTGCTCAGTCGCGCTGGCAGTCCTGGCGGGGAGGACTGCAAGGCCCAGCATGCCCCGCGCGCCCCTGACCTTTCACCCCGTCACAGACCCCCCCGCCAAGACAGGGGGAATTATGGGATGTCCCCCCGGGTCGGGGTGAGAGCTGTGGAGTGGGGAAACAACCAAAATATCGAAATATTAAAATAAGTCTAAACGCCCCCGGAAGTGCGTTGAGGCCACGCCCCAGTGCGGGGGGTCAAGGGTCACGCTTTTTGGCGGGAGATCGGGCAGCAGCTGTGTCTTGAGGTGGAGGCGGCGGGTAAGGGTGGACGGTTTGGGGTGGGACAGAGGTCAAAGGTCAGGTCTTGGGCGGCAAAGGACGGTGTCACATATTCTTGGGGGAAAGGGGCATTTTATGGGTGGGGTCAAAGGTCAGGCCCTGGGTGGGGAAGGGCTGCATGCATATCCTTGGGGGTGGGGGGCTGGACCCACGTGGTATCCTGGGGAGGGGTCAAAGGGAGAAGGGCAACTTTGGGGTGGGGTCAGAGGTCAGGCCCTGGGCTGGGGGGGCTGGGACTTGCAGCGATGGCCCCTGGTAGAAATGGCGCGGGGATGTTTTGTGGGTGCGATGACTTGGTTCCTTCGGCGTCCTCAAGTACAAATGGCAGCAGGGGGAATGGGAT